TCTTCTCTATCCATTTCTCCTATCATCTCAGTGCTATTTTGATCATTCCGAGTAACAGTGTTTTAAAAAAAAATGGACAGATAGAAAATTAAACTCTCAAAAATTTGAAATAAAACTCATTGTTGCCGTGTTTGGAAAGTGACTACCCTTATCAAAAATACCTATTATGTCCAGACCATGGTTGATTGTCATAGTGATGAACTTTCCTGGACACTAAGCCTCAATATTTTGTTATCTGAGAATCTGCAGTTTAATTTCATCCTTCAAGATCAAAGGCACATAAATTAACTTGGCACATTGATCTGACAAATCTATGGAAAGCTGCCAGGCAAGACAAGTCCACAGATTAACTCATTAGTTTATAATGCTTAAAACAACTTTGGGCAAACTGTTGAGAATTGAACAGAGGCTAAAAAACCCAAAGTCATTCACCAATATATCTTTCTATACAGTTCACCGAAAAACATCTAACCTCTACTTGACCACTCAGTGAGAGGGCACACTATTTAACAAGATAATCCATTCCAATTTTTAGACAGCTCTGAATGAATAAATAACTTTCTATGATCAGAAAAAAATCTGCCTTTTAACTTCCTAATTCTGCCTTTATATTAGATTTATATCTGTTAACAGGTTCAAATCTCTCCCTACCTTTATCCCCAAACTCTCTCTTGATCCTACATCATTTTTCTCTATTTAATACCTAATTTCTTTCTTTCCCTTCTCTTGCAAACTCCTCAAAAAGTAGTCTATGGTTTCTCTTCTCCTCCTTACTTTTAGTCACTCCTCAACAAGTTTCTATCATACCAGAATTCTTGAAAAAATCACCAGTTTGGGCATATTTCCCAAACCTCATCTCTAAGTACCTGTATGCTACATGCTGATCTCTCCCTCCCTCCTTCCCACCACTGCTCTTAAAACAACTGCCTTGGTTTCCAAAGGCTTTTTCTGGGTTCCCTGTGTTGCTCCCTAATACCCTTTTCTTCCTCTAACCATCTCATAAGTGATGGTGTTTCCCCAAAGTGTCCTATACTACACACATGCTTATGGCTCAAAGGAAGGAAACAAAGGAAAGAAAGAGGGAGGGGAAGAGGGAGAAGAAAAAAAAGAACAAATCCAAAACCCCCTGCCAACCATACATATCAACCTGGAAGGTGATTAACACCAAGGCCACTGGTCCTTCCTCCCTTCTAGTGGTCTCCATTGGCACCCTCCTTTATGCTGTCACAAAATCTAGAAAAATCTCTAAATTCTTTCTCTTCTCTCACCCTGGATCAGTCATCAAATCCTGCCAAGTTAACCTATGAAATAATCTTCTATATCAATATTCCCATTTTAACCTTCATTTTCCTAGTTTGGGACCTAACTGTCTCCTAAAACCAAGACTGTGATAGCAGCTTCCTAACTAACTGGTCTTAGGACTCCTGATCTTGTTGCCCTCAAATTTACCTTCCACCCAACTGCCAGAGACTTATCTGAAACACAAACCGGACTATGTCCCTTCACTGCTGAGAGACTTCAATGGCTTCCCTTTGTCCTTAGACCTTTTCTTAAGGTCCTCATGAAAGCCAACAAGGTCCTCCACCATCAAGCTGCATCTCATTCTGCAGCTTTCTCTCTCACCACACTGCCTTGCTTTTATGCTCTAGCAACACTGAACCTCTGTAGTTCCCATCCCCATGCTGCTTCTCACCCATATGCTTTATTACCATCCCTTCTGCCTGGAAGGTCCTCTTCTCACTTCCTCACTTAGAAACATATAAACTTATCCTTGTAAGGCTTAGAAAACATGTCACCTCTTCTAAAAGCCCTCCTTTGTCTGACTCACCCATACCTTGACAATCTCAACAGCAATATGCCCTACGAATGGCCTGGGTATAGCACCATCACTAACTTAAACTGTTCTGTAACCAACTCTATATATATATATTTTTTTTTTTTTTTTAAATCTCCAACTAGAATATGAGCTCCTACCAGGCATGGGCTAGATTTTTTGAAAAATTTGTAATGGATGTTATTCTTCTTTATCTCTTTGAAAACCCTAAACTTTAAAGTCATTCTAAAATGATTCTCATTGGGAGTGGGAGTAAAATGACTTTCATTTGCTGGTTGCTAATTTGGACAACTGTCCTTACTTTGCAATTTTAGTTTGCAGGCTAACCTTGGAGAAAGTTCATTTCCCTCCTTCATTCATCCTCTCCATTGAGAGGTGCTCCCTCCCAGGATTCTCAGTCCCATCCTACCAAGAGGGAGAAAGGTACACATTTAGACAGTAAGCCAATAATACATTTGTCTCTGGCCCTGCATCTCTCTCCACTCTCTTGCCTGCCACTCTGAATAGAAGTAACATCTTTTTCTCTCTGTTCATGGGCAATCCTTGACTTCACAGTCAGGGATCATTTCCTCCCTTCACTGAATGTTTTGATCCCCATATCTACAGAGATACAATCCCCAGACATCTCTACCTTTTTTGGGATCTAGAGTCCAGCACATCAGTAACTAGAGGCCCATGACTAACAGTGTCCACTGATTGTCCATAAATAAAGTTTTATTGGAATACAGTCACACCCATTCATTTATGCTATTCTAGTTATCAACTGCTGTGTAACAAACCACTGCAAAACAGAGTGGCATACACTCTGGAAAACAGTATGGAGGTTCCTCAAAAAGTTGAAAATAGAGCTACCATATGATTCAGCAATTGCACTACTGGGTATTTACCCCAAAGATACAAAAGTAGGGATCTGAAAGGGTACGTGCACCCCGATGTTTATAGCAGCAATGTCCACAATAGCCAAACT